CTCACTTGGTAGCCCAGGCTGGCCTCGAACTCACAGAGATCCGCCTGCCTCTGCCTCCCGAGTGCTGGGATTAAAGGCGTGCGCCACCACCGCCCGGCGCACTGGCTGCTCTTAGTGAGGTCCTGAATTCAATTCCCAGCAACCTCATAGTGGTTCACATCCATCTATGGTGGGATCTAATGCCCTCTTCTGGCATAAAGTCATACATGTAGACAGAGCACTCATACATAAAATAAATCTTTCAAAACAAAACAAAAACACAAAAAAATGTATTGCATTTATTGTATGTGTGCCTGCTTAGAGACCAGAGGACAACTTGTAGGAGTCAGTTCTGCCCTTCCATCATGTGGGGACACCTGGGATTGCAGGCTGGTTGTTAGGCTTGGCAACCGATGAGCTGAGCTATCTCTTGATAGCTATTATCCATTGAGCTATCTTGCTAGCATGCTCTCTTTTTAATAAAACACTCTAACTGTAGAAATTGGATTCTGAGTGCTGGTGACTTGGGTGCAATAACTCTGAAGGAGAGCTTGACCTGTATTTCATTCTCTACAACCCCAGCTCTTGAAGCCAGACTCTTCCGAGGATAGCTGATATGTTAGGACAAAGCAAAATCACAGCTCATCGTGCAGAAGTCACATAAAATATACTAGTATATTTCTTTCTTTCTTTCTTTCTTTCTTTCTCTCTTTCTTTCTTTCTCTCTTTCTTTCTTTCTCTCTTTCTTTTTTCTTTCTTTCTTTTTTCTTTTTTTGACAGGGTTTCTCTGTGTAGTTTTGGTTCCTGTCCTGGATCTCACTCTGTAGACCAGGCTGGCCTTGAACTCACAGATCCGTCTGCCTCTGCCTCCCAAGTGCTGGGAGTGCAGCAGTCCGCCGCTGCTGCTGCAGCCGCTGCCGCCACCACCACCACCCGGCTATGTATATGTATTTCTGTGAATTAATCCTGCATGGTAGAAATATATATATGAATATATGAAATATAACATGAATCAGAATTAATGTTAAATTTCACATATCAGGGTGATTCACTAAATAAAACGATAAAAGCCAACATAGTATGAAGAACCAGTTTTGGTTTGTTTGCTTTTTTTTTTCAAGACAGGGTTTCTCTATGTAGCCTTGGCTGTTCTGGAATTTGCTCTGTTGATCAGGCTGGCTTCTAACCCACAGAGATGCGCCTGCCTCTGCCTCCCAAGTGCTGGGATTAAAGGTGTGTGCCACCACCTTCCGTCGAAGAACCAGTTTTTACCTACAACTGCCAGATACAATATTTTGCAAAGGGGCTGGCAAGGTGTCTGAGCTGATAAAGATGCACATGGGAGGAGAAAAAGAACTCCCAATTGTCCTTTGACCTCTAACAGGTGCTGTGGAAGGTATGTGTGTGTTAAGAAATGTTTCACAATGAATTTTGTTGGAGTTACTGGAAATATCCAATAGATGGCACTGTTTACATTTATACGTGGAAGACTAATAAATGCACATTTGTTCATTTGCATTTTGCTTTAGGAAACTCTTAGCTAAAAATGGTCTTTTGGGGACCTAGTTCCTTATTTGTTAACCATTCTCATTTTGGAAAATGCAGTGTCAAAAATATTCACATAGACCTGGCAGCAAAATGACATAGAATGTTGGTAGACTGTCGTTCCTAGACCTGGGCCTTGGCCACCCCGCCATATTCTAGCAATAAACTTTTCTTAGCAGACAGTGGACTCATTCAGTTACAGGAAGACCTTGCTAAGAACATTGAACATATATGCTGAGCCATAGTTGGCCTTTTACAGCTCCTATGGGAAGTGCTGACAGCTGTGCTTGGGGCTTACCCCCTGGGCAAGGGTTAAGCCTCCCCAGGAAATCTTCCTGAGAAAGGAGGTGGGAAATGAGAACGCCAAAATTCTAAGACTCAGGGAGAGTATGTGAGAGTTGGCTCCATGTAGAGCACAGATGTGCTCCCATGAATATTCTGGGACTTTGGAGACAAGGCCAAATCTCTGGGTTGGTTTTGGCTACTGCTAGTGTAACTGAGAATACACTGGCATCCTCTTGTCTGGGGGAAATAAGACCTTCCCAGCAGTAAGATAGAAAAATCATGCCCATTTTGCCCCTCCCCTACCTTTTAGGGTTGGAAACTACAGGTAGAGCTGTCCCAACAAGGGTTCCCTGGGTGGTGGGGCAGACATACCGTTCTCTTTGGTAAGTATGGTTCCAGGAGGAAGAGTAGAGACCTCTCCTCTACAGTGTGAGCTGAAAATGAGAGGGCTGATCTATAGGTCAGAAAACCTCAAGACATTTCTTTCTTCCTTTCTCAAACACTGGTTGGCCCAGTTTATAGGCACATCTGGGTTTCTGTCGTCCTTACTTCCAGAACAAGACAGAAAGCAGAGTGAGAGAAACTTTTTGAGATCAACACAAAGATGATAATGTTCACTTTTAATTTTTTATTTAGTATTAAAGAACGAATCATGAATTTGTTGAGCTGTACAGGGGCTGGAGAAACAGTTCAGTGGTTAAGAGCACTTGCTGTTCTTGTAGAGGACCTGGGATCAGTTTCCAGTACCCACATGGCGGCTTACTTACACATGTAACTCCAGTTCCAGAGGATTTGATGACCTCTTCTAGCCCTCAAGGGCACCTGTACTCACACACATATACACATACATAGAGACACACATAGGCAATAAATAAATATTGTTGTTTGAGGCAGGATTTCTCTGTGTAGCCCTGGCTGTCCTGGAACTCACTCACTCTGTAGACTAGGCTGGCCCCAAACTCACAGAGATCCTCCTGCCACTGCTTCCTGAGTGCTGGGATCAACATGTCAGGCTTTTAAAACTTTTTATGTTTCATTTTGCTACAGTTTCTCAAAAACACTGTGTGAAGACAATTCTGGCAGCTCAGCTGTGAGAGGGAACAGCACTGAGCCCTGCTCCTAGCTGAGTCCCAGACCGTGGATAAACTGTCACCTCATTCTGCATTATTTTTAAGGTTTCAAAGTAGAAATAATATTTTCTGTGTTGTAGTTCTGTGACAATATGTTTACCATAGAGGGAACTTGGCATATCTCTAAATATACTATGGCAGATATGCAAGAGTAGTTCAGAATGTAGAAACCATAATTTTTTTTTTTTT